TTGCCATGAAATGCTCGAAAATTTCTTGGTTTCATCTACCCCTTTTTCCTAGTTTATCTAATTGTCCTTTTTCTTTGTGGAACTGCACAAATTATGGCAGTTATTACTGGATAGGCGTTATTAACTGGGAGTTGAGATATATCCACATTGGCAATGTTAGCATATCTCTTGATACAAGTAGTTTGGGATTATTTGTTCAATATAATAAGATTTAGATTATATACGCAAATCACCTCTAATGCAAGTTTTATAGGACCCTGTTAAGATGACGCTTCTATTGACTTGCATGTAGTTTATTTGTTGTTTATTTACTTAGTACAATTTCTCTTATTTTCTCCGGTAATAATATTATCATCGTCATCATTATTCTCAATAGTACAGGAGGGAAATGGCGATGATTCAAACTGGACAAAATTGTACGATTTAGAAGAGTCACATTCTAGGACTGTTAGTCCTCGAATTCAAGATGGGGAGAGTAAAGGAGAAGAGAAACAATTCCAGAATAGAGACGGGATGAAGATTCTTCCATTTGAGTTTGTAGCGCTGGAGGCATGCCTAGAGGCTGCATGTGGAGTGTTAGAAAATGAAGTATGTATACTTCGCTCATTTGCTCTTTCCCCCCTTATCTTCTCACTTCCTATATATTGATTTTTCTGTCATCTTTTTGAGCAGGCAAAGACATTGGAGCAAGAGGCTCATCCTGCCTTAGATAAGTTGACTTCAAAGATTAGTACTCTCAACTTGGAACGTGTTCGTCAAATTAAAAGCCGCTTGGTTGCAATTACTGGTCGAGTTCAAAAGGTGAGTAATATTTCAAACTTTGACCACTTCCTTATCCTTGCAAGTTAATCTTTGATGAGGTTACCCATCAAACAAACCTTCCCTCGTCTGTGATTTGATTAATTTTCTGTCATGTGGGATACTTTTGATTGCTATTGCATGCTACTTATCTCCAGGTCCGGGATGAGTTAGAGCACTTGCTAGATGATGATGAAGATATGGCTGAGATGTATCTGACAGACAAGTTAGAACAGCAACTTGAGGATTCTTCAGCCTCATCCATGAATGATAAAGATGACATGGAAGGTCAAGAACTTCAAACTAATATGGATGGCAGGCATGTAATTTTACCATCATTTTAATCACATTGAAACTGTGTTAAATGTCTTCTCTATATTACCGATGGCCTTTTGGCCTAGTGGTATATCGCTCACCCTTATTGGCGCTAGATCTCAGGCTTATTCCCAATGCCGCCTCTTGCAATCCACCCCCAAAAAAAAAAAAAAGGAAAAGAAAAGAAAAATAGAAACAGACAAACGCTTAAAACAAAACAAAACAAAGCAAAGCAAAAGTCTTCTCTATAATCATTTAATTGTCTTGCACTAGGATACCTGCTGAAATATCATTGGAAACCGGTGGAGGTTCTGCTTGCTACGAAGATCATCAAAATACACTTGGCAGGGATAGCCATGGAACTCGTACTAGTATTACCTACAGTACTGTAACCAAGCAACTTGATGTAGAGGAACTTGAGATGCTCCTGGAAGCATACTTCGTGCAAATTGATGGCACACTGAACAAATTATCCACGGTATGCAAATTTTATTGAATTCTTTTAGCTGGGCTCTTTCTTTTTTATAGCCTCAACAACAACAACAACAACAACAACAACAAGCCTTTATCCCACTAGGTGGGGTCAGCTACATGGATTGCAAGACGCCATTGTGTTCTATCATTTATCAAGCTTTTAGGAATATTATTAATTAAGAGATCGCGTTTAACAACTTTCAAGAGTGTTCTCTTAGGCCTTCCTCTACCTCTCTTAATCGGACTCAAAGTTATATGTTCCACTCTTCTCACTGGTGCCTCCCTTGGTCTTCTTTGTACATGCCCAAACTATCTCAACCGATTTTCTACCATTTTTTCCTCAATAGGTGCCACCCTCACTTTATCGCGTACGTGCTCATTTTGAATTTTATCTTTACGTGTATGTCCGCACATCCATCGTAACATTCTCATCTCTGCTACTCCCACTTTATGCTCTTGCTGTCCCGTTAGAGCCCAGCATTCACTACTATATAACATTGCCGGTCTGATAGCAGTGCGATAAAACCTTCCTTTCAGTTTATTAGGCACCTTACGATCACAAATAACTCCTTTAGCTTATCTCCAATTAAATCACCCAGCTTGAATTCTATGTGAAATATCTCCACTGATTTCGCCATCATTTTGAATAATGGCTCCCAAATATCTAAACTTTTCCACTTGAGGTATAATTTGATCTCCCAATTTCACTTCCAAATTATTGTTGAATAGTCCTTTACCAAATTTACAATATAAATATTCCGTCTTACTTCTACTCAGACGAAAACCTTTCGACTTCAATGTCCTCCTCCATAACTCAAGTTTGCAATTAATCTCTTCTTTTGTCTCTGCTATAAGAACTATATTATTCACGAAGAGCATACATTTCAAGATTTCCTCTTGAATATGTTCCGTCAAAACATTTAAAATCAAATTGAACAAATAAGGACTCAGAGATGATCCCTGATGTAGTCCAATCTTTATAGGAAAATTCTTTGTTTGACCACTAGGCGTTCTTATACTAGTTTTTACCCCCCTCATACATATCTTGTATGGCTTTAATATAAGCAATCCGTACTCCCTTTTTTTCCAACGCTTTCCAAAGCACTTCTCTTGATATACGGTCATGAGTTTTTTCCAAATCAATAAAAACCATGTGTAGATCTTTATCTTTACAACGATACTTTTTCATTAATCCCCTTAGTAGATAAATCGTCTCTGTAGTTGATCTACCTGGCATAAAATCAAATTGATTCTCAGAAATACTTGTTTCCAATCTCAACCTGTGCTCAATTACTTTCTCCCACAATTTCATTTGTGGCTCATGAGTTTAATCCCTCTATAGTTAGTACAATTCTGAATATCTCCTTTATTTTTATAAATAGGAATTAATGTACTTCTCCTCCACTCATCAGGCATTTTCTTGGACCGTAAAATCACATTAAATAACTTAGTTAACCATCTCACCCCTTCTTCACCTAAACATTTTCACGTTTCGATAGATATACAATCAGGTCCGTTGGCTCTACCATTTGTCATTTTCTTAAGAGCTTCCTTTACCTCCTTATCACGTATTATTCGATAGAATAACAAATTTTGTTCTCCTTCACCAGTTACTAAATCCTCCAAGTTACTAGATGAATCCTCTCCATCATTGAAAAGTTTAGAAAAATAAGTCTCCCATCTATTTTTAATTTCATCATCTGTAACTAAAATTCTTCCCTCTTCATCCTTAATATACCTTACCCGTTTTAGATCTCTTGATTTTCTTTTCTTACTCTTGGCAATCTTATAAATATTTTGCTCTCCTTCCTTCGTCTCAAGGTTCTTATAAATTTCTTCAAAAGCTTTAGAACGAGTTTCACCCACAGCTCTTTTAGTTTCCTTCTTAGCCATACGGTACCTCTCCTAATTTTCCTCATTGCTACACAAATGTATAGCTTTAAAACAGTTCTTCTTATACTTTTTTTATAGCCTCATGTGGCTATTTTTTGCCCCCTAGAAGTTTATGAGAAGTTTTACTGCAAAAGGAATATTCACTGTTAAAGATGAAACATTTACATTTTCTCGTTGATTTGGCTGATAACATGTCTGAAGGATGCTCTGGAAGCAGTCAAATTTATGTGGAGGAGATTTAAACAGATAATCAATGTTTACTTTCCTAGAGTTATTGGTAGGACTTTCTGCTTCGCAAGTAATGCCCAACCGCTGGGCTTGACCAGTTGCATTTCTAGAGTTTAATATATTTCATGCTAAGTAACCAAGCAGAAGGGTTTGAAACTTAACAGTATATTGTTAAGCACTCACTACTTGCTGTTCCTTGAGGAGCAAAAAGGATTTTTAATAATTTCTCACTTGTTATATGCCTTCTAGACTCTTAAAACACTAAGCATCTTTTAGACTTATTTCCATTATACCTCTTAGAGTTTACAGAGTCATGCATCAATGCTAAAGTATTTGCTTCGATAGTTGGATTAACCTTTTTCGTTTTTGGTTGTTGATCTGGGTTGTTGTGAAGCTGAGGGAGTATGTGGATGACACAGAGGACTACATCAACATCATGCTGGATGACAAGCAGAACCATCTGCTGCAAATGGGAGTGATGCTGACAACAGCGACCCTAGTAGTGAGTGCTTTCGTGGTGGTGGCCGGTATTTTTGGGATGAACATTCATATTGAGCTTTTTGAAACTGGGATGCGGGAATTCCTCTGGACTGTTGGCGGCAGCACCGCCGGCACCATATTCTTGTACGTCTTTGCCATTGCCTGGTGTAAGCACAAACGCCTGCTGGAGTGACGTTCACTCGTCCCCAGGCTGTAATATATCAAGAGTGTCTCCATAGCTTTCATTGAGTCAACAGGCTGTAATAATCATCATGATGATTCATCAATAACGTCCGGAAGGATTAGTTATAAACTGAACAAGTTCAAAGTGTGTTTTTGGTAATCATTTGAGACTAACTTTGCTTTGAAAGTTACGAAATCACTTGTTAATAGAAAAGCTGTCAAGTGTTTGTGTTTGTGCGTGATTCCTCCGAATTAGTATGATACTTGTGGATGCTTTTTGAAGCCATCAATAGTGTGCAAAATTTTTTAATTAAAAAAAAAAAACCTTCGCAACATGTATATCTATTTACTGAAGACCGAGACCTTAAATTGATGTTAAGCCGAGTTTGACCCTTCAATTCATATTTCAAGCATTCTGTTATCAAGTTTTTTAATAGTTAATGAGAAGGTATGCAAAAGTATATGACAAAAATTCTTTTATAAAAATCTGTCGAATATTTCATTTTTTATTTACCACACATAATATGTATTAATATCTGAATCAGTATAAATTATTAAATTTGCTGAATCAGTATAAATTATTAAATTTGGACTTACCTTGTCTAGGAACAAACCGATTGCTTAAAATTGGTTTGAGTTGCAGGGTGTTTCAATTAATGGGAGTGTTTTCAAGTTTTTTTCCTTTTGTGGGGTAATAGAGGGCACTTGTCCAGCAGCCTCATCCTCATTATCCATTAGCGAGAACTGGTGGCTGCAGCAAAAGGGAGAAGATGAGTATAGGGCAAAACACACTGATGGCACAAACAGTGACAGTGAACAAGTTTGCTTCTTCCAATTTGCAGGCTGTTCCTCACACAACAAAGCCTCCCAATCCCAACCTCTCTAGAAGAGCCCTGCTCTTATCCTCCCTCGTCGCCACTTCCCTCCCTGACTCCAGAACTCTCCTTCTCCAAAGTACTCTCTCTCCGCTTTTGTGTACTCTTCTCTTCCTCTTTCTCTAATTTCTCACTCATGCAGTTCTGTTTCCAGAGTACCTCAAGAAATCAGAGGAAAACAGAGAGAAAAATGACAAAGAGGTATCGAGTTTACTGGCTTTTGATTCTTAATCAAGATGCTTTTTGCCAATTCCTGTTGTGGTGTGATATTGCAGAGGTTGGAGAGTTATTACAAGCGTAACTACAAGGATTACTTTGAACTGGTGGAAGGATCTCTGAGGGCAAAGCAGCAAGACAAGCTTTCTGATACAGAGAAAGGCATCCTCGATTGGCTTAAATCTAACAAATGAAACCCCCCTTTTCTGTTTCATTCATCTGTAGCCTCATTACTTTCAAATTTTTACATTTTTGGACTCATTTAGTAATCTAGATATAACTTAGGCCGGTAGATTATAATAATTTCCTGTTTCTTTCTCTCCTGAACCCCAGCAAAACTTTTGGGGGCTTCGATCATGCTTTTTATTTTTATTTTAAATACATTGAGTTGATGTATTTTATACACGTCTCCTAAGTAAACCAAACTAATAAGCGGGTCAAAGCTATGAAGAGTTTTGAAAATTGGCTGTTAAAAATCATGTCTTTTTTCAAGTTTCACAGTTTGCAGGCCTCATCACATCGATACCACGCAGAAAAATTAGTGATGGTTTGCTACAAATAAGTTGAGAGTATCATCAAAATGTGAGGATATGAAATTAAAATTGTAGGAGCAATGGTGCACTTCTTAAGATGACGCCAAAGTAGATGAAGGCAGAGCCAGATGCATAACCTGATCGGCCACTGAGTTGCCAAATTGGCAACGAATGAAAATAACAGAGTGGGCGTTACCTGACTAGTCCGTTTTGCGATAAGAAATCAATGTGGCGCACTATATATATTACATACAATTATCTAAGATACTATCTTTCGTAATACTTATGATATTAAAAATTGAGTAAATTCACCTGATTGAACTAGTAAACCATTAAATCAATATTTTGATGGATTCATTGAAATGTTTTGTTCATAATCATTCTGACTATGATTCGATGACCAGGGTTTTAATTATTAAGATTTAAACCAGTGCTTTAACCAATTAATTGATCAGCAGAATTCTCAATATCTGAGTAATACTCAATGCAAGACCAGTTGCTTACTGCTGGAGTAGTCTGTAACTGCTCCAATTGGCTTAACCCAAAATTACTTCTTTTTCCCTTTTTTGTGGCCCCAGCATTAATTGTAGCTTGAGCTTCAACGCGTAATAAGCATTAAGCATTCTATCGTAAGCTCAAAAACTGATGATCCAAAGTCAAATCCCATGATCTTTGGGGTATAATTTTGTGGGTCACATGGTATACACAAGTGTCTCAACAGTTCTGCAGTTGGCTGACTCTTGTGCATATCCACCAATTAATCTCCTCATTATGCATGTGATCCCTTCCTCAGGTTAGCGTAACTTGAGGACTTACTGTTTCAACTTTAAAGAGTACAGACAACAATCTAGTATTTTAGGTCAATCCCAAGCCCTAGTTTTCATGTAACTGCCGACAAGCTCTCATACATATAGTCTCATACAAAATATCTCCCACGGAAACAATGGGGCCGTTTGGTTTTTCTTTATTGGCAAAATTTTATTTTTAAAAATTTAAAAATTATTTAGATAGAATATTTGTAAGAAAGCACGTTTTGAAAGTATATTCAAACAATAGCTGAAACTGAATTTCTGAAACGTAACTATTTGAAACTTTTAAAAAATAGGTTTGAAAAGTAATATGTTATTTGACCATACTACCCTAAGTTTAATCTCTTATTTTTTTATTTAAAAAATAGTTAATTCATTAAAAATATAATTATTATTTTAATAATAATAATTAGGTATCAATTTTTTTAGTATTATAAATTGAATAATTAATCATGTTAATTTTTAGCATTAATGTGTAATAAAAATTACATCTTTTAAAATTACAAATTAAAAAAATATAAATAATTAGAAATTAAATTTTTAGCATTATAGATCAAAATTTATGTTATTTAAAATCTTTATTACATTTTTTAAATATTTTAAATATATTATATTTGTATAATAAAAATTATAAATTATTATAAATCAATGTCCTTTTTAATAATTGTACATTCAAAAGGACATTTCACTATTACAAACCAAACAACTTTTAATATATCAAACTGATTTTTAAAAAAATATATTCAAATATAAATTTTGTTACAATAATTAACTTTTAGTAAACTAACTTTTATCAAATAAATTTTTAATAAATTAAAAACCAAACACACACGTCGTTGTTCCGAAGATCCAGATTTATGCAACGCGTCGTCTACGTAGTAGCAAGAAATTTAGCTTATATATATATATATATATATATATATATTAAAGGCGTGCAATCATTATGTCAGAACGCAATGCAAACGAATAAAAATATACATAAATCAAAGTTTGATTCTTTTCATACTAATTATCTCTATTTATCTGTCTCTAAATCTATCAAGTTATACTGTGCACGTAAAGTCGTAGAGCCTTGAGAGTTGAAACAATACTTGACGATGGTGGTGCTGGTGTGAGAATTTTGCAAAAAGAAGAAGCCAACCACTCATCACGCTTGTGGATTCCCACACACTTGCAAGTCGAAATTATAATAATTATATGCAACACGAGGGCCGTGTCCAGTTGCAGCCTGAATTTCTGATGGAGTTATTTTAAAGGGATCTAAAAATGGGAGTTGATTTTGACTTGTCCCAGGTAGAGTTTGAATTTGACTATGTAACATTACTTACTGATTCTGCTAATCTCAATTCTGTTTGCCCACAGTTGTCGCACATTGTGAAGGATATGATGTATATCCATCTTCCACTTAGCAAATGCCAATTTCTTATTCCTCGTTAATTATTCTGAGTATCTACATCTTCCACTCAAGCCACTATTTGATTTACTACTGAAGAATGTTAAGTTGTTAGAATAAGATTGCCACTTGTATTCTTAACCTTTAACACACACCCTCTCCCTGTGTGTGTCTTTGGGAGAAAAAAAAAATGTTTTATGAGTTAAATGGTAATTTGATTCTAAAACCATTCTAGGAACACTTATTGGTAGCTTCAAAAAATTATGGAACAATATAATACATAAACCTTTAAAATTGGTGAATATATAAACAAGTAAAGCTACGCTTATGAACAACTTGTATAAAAAAAAAACAAAAGATGTATGAAACATGAACGATTGACGTAAGTGATATGAGAGTTGCAAATTTATAGTAATATTATGATGTTAATAAAAGTTACAAATTCTACTTACATCAGTTATTTATTTTCTATACATCAGTTGTTAATTTTCCTACATTAGTTATTCATGCACCTCATTTTATTAAGGACAATAAAGTTCTTTCAATTAGCTATTTAATTTTATTTCAGTTTCTCACATGTGTAGTGAAATTTCATAATATTAGGAATTTTGATTTAATCAAGAGGTCCTCATTGAAATTTTCCCTCCACCCCCCCCCAACCCAACGTTAACCCAAACATTGATGATTGAGCAATCGCCACCCTTAAATAAAACTTGCTATCTAAAGAATTTTTTGCATGGTCTTGTACATCACATCATTCATATTTTGTTAGACAAAAATATTTCATGTTATATGATTGTAAATATGAATTGATGTTAAGAAATTAAAGAGATTCTTTATTTTAAAAATAAAGTCATTAAAAATAATGACACATAAAGTTTTATTTGACTAAATTGATATAATTTTATTAAATAGAGTATAGATAATATGTTGCATTGGATCCATGCAAAAATTTCTCTACTAACTAAGCATTTTTTGATTAAGAAGAAAAAAAAAAGAGTCTCCCAGAACTAATAATCAGTATGGATATTTTTTTGAATAAATATTAGGTATTTGTTAAAATTAGGTAACATTACACTTATTTTAAAAGATTATATGCTTCGTTATGCTTCATTTTTTAAGGTGTCAATTACTTGGACAATATTTTCAAGGCAAAATACAATATCACCTATTTTACTAACCTTTTATATGAATTTAAATTATAAATTGACAAAAAAGAAACAGAAGAATACTAAGTTGGGAGGAGAGGGTCTCTATTTCTTTTTCCTCATTTTCTCTCCATTTCTCAATCATCAAACCATTCATCAAATTTATAAAATGAATGGTGATGATTGAAAAATGAAGAGAAAATGAAGAGAAAGTAGCGGAGAGACCTCCTCCTCTTGAGCTGGAAGGGGTGGTTGGAAGGACACGGATCGGAAAATGATGTTACCTCAACTTGGATGGAATGCAGCTATGCATTAACTATCCCTCACTAATTTTAAAAATTATTCCTTTTCTCCTTCTACAATTTGTGCTTTTCTTACCCTCGTTTTACCTTTATAAAAATCCATCAATCTAAAATGATTAGCTAGTGTATTGATTAATAATTATAGAAGTAGAAATTAAAATTTGATTAGAATAAGTGTATTAATGAACATATGACAGTGGCACTTTTTTCAGATTGACTTTTCCTTTTATAAGTATGAGAAATAGACTCCGCTAACAACAAATAATATCTATCTCAAGGTGCTAAAAACAATAAACAAGCATTTTTTAAATATATTGCTTCATATATAAAGATTGATATTCAAATCTTCAACTGAGTGTTCATCACTCAGGTCAAATTGATTTTTCAGGCTGACTTTTAACATGTCATTTTCAGGGCAATTAAACAAGTCGGTTTTTTTAATAAACAAAATCAATTCGAATCTGATAAAATTACACAACATGCGGGGAGGGAAGGCAGGGATTTGAAATTTTGACATCCTAAATCCTGAATGGCCCATACATATTTGCTGTGTCTTTCTCAAAGTTTGTGACATCACATGCCCCCATTTTTAATGTCAATGTAAACTGAAACGGAATTGGTCCGGGAAAAAAAAAAAAAACAAAGAGTAAATGTTTGGGAATAATTTATTATTCATTAGTAAAGGAATGAGCAACTCAGAGAGGCAAAGGCTCTTATTTAATTTCTGAATGACATCAGGTCTCGTGACAGCATCCCAACAGACAGTCTTGGAGATACCGACGACGTCCACATAACCATATATTTTAATATATCTGTTTTAAATAATCTGTATTTACATACTCTCATTATTTTAAATTATAAAATATTTTTAAATAAAATCTTACATATTAATAAAATTTATTAAATATATTTTACAATCTTATTTTTTTAAAATAAAAATATAAACTTTTAAAAACACCCTTTATTTAATACTCTATTGATAAAAGAATATTGAAGAAAGAGAATATATGGAAAGGATAATATTAAAAAAAATTATTAATAAAATCTTATTTTTATCAAAGTGTCTTATATTTTGAGAAATTAAATCTTTTTTAAAAGTGTCTTATAATTTAAGACGGAGAGAGCACATCATTAGAATATATAGTAGAGGAGTACTGCAAATATACTGCATAGTGCTGATTAAAAATTAAAAATATAATTTTTATGGGATTTATTTTTAAACTGAATAAAAAAATTTCATCAAATTTAATATTTATAACATTTTTCAAAATTTATTAATATTTTTTTGATTTGACGATCATGTTCATACATTTGGAATCTAATGATTATATTTTCTATATTTTTATATTAAATTATCAAATCACAGGTTTTTACATGTAACTAGTGATAGTGATAGTGATGAATTTAACTATTCAAATCCACAACCTTAAGAAAAAAATTCTATATCAATTCTGAGAAATAAAAAAAATAAAAGCGTATTTGAATGCTTCACTTAAGAAGTACTCGTTAGATTAATGAATAATTGTGGACTTCTAGATTTGCATGGCAAGAAGCAGCAAGTGGTTCGAAATGTTATCACATGTGACCAATGTCGAAAGAATAATCTTTATTTATAAATTTAAATTTGTGATATTTATAATTTGATTTCTCAAAAAATAATGAATGTTATTTTAGTCTCTATTAATTATATGACAATCATATTTTCTAAAACTTAAATTTTAATTTCAAATAATCATTTTATTTAGACTTATTTAAATAATGACAGCACATTTCTCATTTTTTACATAGGTGACCCATATATTAAATTTTATTCCAATAACAAGATATAGCATGCATTCCCAAAAAAGTGACAAGAACAGGAGTTATGGGAGAAGTTCTCGTAGACCATGACTTGTGTATAGGGCAGTTTCTTAAAATTGTTGAGATTTATATTGATGATATTTTAAAATATAAACAATCAAAAATACTAATTTTATAATGAGGACCCAGACAAGATAAAGTGAATATCATGGGAAAAAAGAAGAAGAAGAAATGAGACATGTTCCTTTGGCTCAGATCTCTGGCAGCATCTCCTGGATTTAAAAAACTCGAACAGAATCATTTAAAAATGGATAAAACCTCAGTTCTAAAGGAATAAACTTGGTATTTCCTCCGTTTAAAAACATGTATTTTTAACTAAATCTTACTTCTTAATAAAATAATTATCTATTTTTAAAATAACTCTATTTTTTATATTTACTCCTATTAAACACTTTATAATAAATATAAAATTATTATTAATAAAAACACTCTTAAAAAATAATAATTATATCTCAAAAGATTAAAAATATTTTATATTTTTTAACACTCAACTTTTTAAAAAATATTTTATATTTTTAAATAGAAGGAGTATTAATTAGTTCTCTCATAAGTTTAATCAAAAAAATATCTTTTAATAAGATAATTTCTTTGTCATGTTGACTATAAGAAGATAAGTTCTCAGTCTATGGATTATTCTGCCATACATAAAGGTTGGCATTTCCATCTACCTCATCTTTGTGAATGTACAAATTTTGACCATCACCCTGCTATGACTTCATCATCTTGTCCATTTCTGCGTGCAGATTATGCATCAATGTTATGTTAATTAGGAGAAAGACTAGAACTTTCTGAACAACCTAAGCCTTGTCTGGACTCTTCCAAACATTCATGAGGGTCTTGTCCTCATTAATGATTAAAGATTCATCCGAAGGCTACGAAAATTAAAATCCAAATGCAGATGTGCAGGGAATCTCACCCAATGAAGTTGGAAACTATAGCCTTCATCTGAATCATCTGGTTTTTCATACCTTACCTCATGAACAAATCTTCTACAACGTTGAAATGTTTAGTAGAATATTTTAAAAATATTTTACTATTTATTATATCATCATTGAGAGGTATTATTTAATATAATATTATTGTAAATAGTCATTATTAATTTGTCTCATTAGTATATATTGTATTATTTACAATAATAATAGAGAATCTTTTCTAATCCTTTTCTTATATCTGATAGCATATCAAAGACATAGAATATTATTTTTCACAAAAAAATTGTTTTGAAAAATATCACATCTATTAGTATTATGAACATTAAAATATATACCAGAAAGAAAAAATAATCTAATAATGACTATTTATAATAATATCATATTAAATAATATCTTTCTATAATAGCAACTGATATCTCTCAATAGTAGTAAAATATCCAAAAAAAAAAAACACTCTAGATAACATTCCCCTCAGACTCAATATGATTTAACAAAGAGTTATTTGAGTTTGTCTACTAGAAATTGAAAATGGCTTGGATTAAAAGACTTCACAAACAAGTCTACTGATTGATACTTGATTTGAATTGAAATAAGTCAGATGGTGCCTCAAACAACATGTTATCGAGTAAAGTGATAAATAATGTCAATGTGTTTGGTCCGTTTATAAAACATATCATTATGAGCAATCTTGATCGTAGCTTGATTGTCACAATAAGTGTTTGTGGAGGAGTTTTGAGGTGCTCCCAGCTTATCAAGTAACCAACAGAGTCAAAATACTTCAGCAGTTGTACTCACGATATTCAAATTCAACACGGGAGCAAGAGTAATGTTTGCTTCTTATTTCTCCAAGAGATAAAGAAATAATCAAAGAAGATACAGAAACCCATCATAAATCGACAATCATCACGATCATATTATCTAGAATATTCTAAATATGTTTTACTTTTTATTATGTCATTATTGAGATATATCATTTGTCATTATTAAAAGATATCATTTGGCATGATATTGTTGTAAATAGTTATTATTATGGTATTTTTTATGGCTTTCATGAAACGATTGAATTTTTGATAATACCTCAGCAAGAATTGCAAGTGATGAAATGCTGATATGAAACTGTCATATGCTCATACAGAACCTGCCTAACTCGCAAGAAAAAAACTATTTATTTCTTCATTTTTACCCCTTTCAGTTGTTTCCAACTGTATTGACAGCTAAAAGAGAAAAGGAAAGGAATGAACAGAACCCACTTTGAGACCAAATTCCTTCTACGCTTAACACTCTGATCCTCCTTTTTCAAAGATGTTCATTAACTTTTTCCACTGCATCAACTTCAATGACTGAAGGTAAATAACTGATTTCAATTCTGATCTTTATCACTTTCCCCTCCATCTTCCTCCAAAGCAGCAGCTAAGCGGATAATTGAACAATGGCACAGAAAATCAGATATAGCAGAGGCAGAACAGAGTAAGAAACGATTATTTACTGGTTGTTCTGAAGTTCATTTTCTGATAGAGATGGTTGTCAGAAGCATAGTGATCTTGGATTGAGGATCTCTCCTGCAAGAGCACAATGGATTCAAAACATGCCTTCTAACAAAGTAAAAAATCCTCAAGCAAAAAGAAAGAATTAAACGAAGTGCAATTACCTCAAAATAAGTTGCAGAGAAACCCTGTGAATGATCTAGCACGCTCTCTGTTGAAGTTTGGGTGCCATTGTTCTGAAAAAAACCATCAAGAACTGTATGAGGAGAAATACCCTACAAGCTATATATATATATATATATAAAGTAATGCAAGCCTCAAATCAAATCGTTTAATGCTAGCTCAGATTAGAATCTTCCCAGCGAAATGCTCTAACATACCACGGCGAAGTCAAAAACAGGAGAGCTGGCAGTATCATCAAGGAAAGATGGAAGGTGCTGATCTCCACAGGGTTCATTTTCTTTAACTTTCTGCTTCTTTTTAGCAGTCTTGGCAATTTTCGCTGCCTGAGATTCAGAATGGAAGCACCCATTATCTTCATTTAAGTAAGCCTCATCATCTTGGAAATGTGGAGGCCCAGAGGAAGCATCGGAAACCATAGACAAGTCCTCCTCTTCTGTGACATCCTCCTCTTCCCTCGCTCTTTTGTCCTTGTCTTCATAAAATCCATCATTTCCACCAGTAAATGGGGTATCCATATGTGAAACATTTTTGCTGAGGAAAGAATGTTCGAGGTATAGAGTCCAGCCAGACTCACAGCCGCTGCTGCATTCTGAAGCCATGGCATTCATCTTTGATTCTGAGGAGAGGACTGAAATGGATTTCTCACAGAAGAGCCTCCTTTATGCAGGAAGAGTGGTAAAATAAAGATGAACAGAATAGAATTCTTTTAGCAGACTCTCTCAACACCTTATTGGCTGTGTGAAGGTATCTCTAGCTAGTAGCCAGTTTTGGTGTTGAACGATTTGGATAGAAATTGCAAAGAGTAGTGGATAGGTGGGGGAGAAAACGAAGAGAGAAATAGACTCAAATCCTAGACTAGTTTTGTCCTGACCCTCCTCCCTATTAGGTTTTTCTGAACTTTCAAATAATGACAATAAGTTACTCTAACACTACTAAGGCAAATGTGACATGTATATATTTTTTTACAGTCTCACACTTGATCTGTCAAACTTAATGGCACTTTTGTCAAACACTTTCAGGGAAGGGAGAACGTAAAGACGAGAGTTACTGAACACTATCACAAGTTAATGAATCAAAACTGCCAGTTGGATGGGTTATAGTGTGTGCATGCAAGAGAGAGAGAGAGAGGAAAAGCCACGACTCGTTCACATGCTAGACAGCGAGGCTCTTCGTGCCCTCTTAACAAAACTGGGTACACGTCCACTTCTCCTTCCACACTGTATGGACACATATCCCTTAGCAGTAATGCCTCTCTGTCTCTCCCTCACTTTATCTCTCCACACCCACAATTGTCCCATTTTTGGGGAAGACTAGTAGTAAGATCTGAGTAGTATAGAGGGTCAGTGTAGATGAGGTTATTGGAGCGAAAGTGGTCCTGCAAAGTGGGCTTTGCTCGGTACATGTAATCTGATTCATTCTACAAATGAGGAAAGTGCATTATGCTCTATTAGACATAACATCAAACACTGTGTAAACCGTGTTTCCTTTCCTGTGCCCATCATGCGTGCTGGTTAAACAATGACTGAAAGAAGAAAAACCAAAACAAAACAAAACCCTTCTTCTACAATTTGTACCCTCTCTCACAATGCAGATTGCAGAGCAAAACTTACCATCCACTTGTTTTACATGTCATTCTCATCTCTGTGACTGTAAGAGAGAGAGAGAGAGTGAGATTTCAATTCTTTTGAAAAGAATCTTGACAATAAAATGATAAATAAGAGAAGAGTTCAAAGATATTCTTACCAGAGGGGTTTAAAAAGAGAAAAATGAGTACATTGATGGATGGGGATGTAAAAACAGTTTTGGGGCTCAGTGCAAATGTCTAGGGTTTTATGAATCCACATGCAATCACATTCAGAGAAAGGGAGGGTTCTCTGCTTTTCAAGAATTTTACTTAAGGATTTCAGATTCACAGAGAGGGGCATGTGGGCACGTGTGGGTAACATTCATGTGCGGTCTTCCACATATTCAAACACATGTTTGCACGTGCACACGCACTCCTATCTAAACACTCTCTTGCTATAAATTTCAATTTTAAATTCTAATTTCCTATATTATTCCTTCTTTTAATATCCAGATGTCTTCTTCTTGTTTCTTATTTATCCCTTATTTTATGCCTAATTGCAGAAATTGTACATTATTTCTCTACATCCCTCAAAGTGGACGCCCCCTCCGCCACATGCCCATTTGTAATTTTTATTCTTACATTTTAATTTAATTAATGTTTGTGTCCTTCTTTTCATGAAAATAAATAAAGGCGTATATGGTTTAAGTTAATTTATAATTATTTTAAAATTAATCGGTGAATCTTTTTCTTTCCAAACTAAATCTTTCGATTTCTGAAAAATAATATTGAACCAGCTTGGTTAATTCAAGTTGAGTTGATTAAACTCATGAATTAATTAAGAGAGTCAAAACTCCCTAGCATCTATGTTTTTTATTTTTAAATTGAACTTTCATTTTTGAAAAATTGTGCTCCTTACCACTCGAATCATTAGATGTTGGTAATCAATAAATCTTCATCTTATATAAGTAAACCATTTATATTTCGGTTGAAGTAACTTAAACTAGCTTTCAATGTCAAAGTTGGTTAAAAAAAAAACAAGAAGAAATTAGAACTTGGTTAAAACTAAAGAGGTCATGTGCGGATACTTGGCAAGAGAGCACAAGAGGGTTCTTGATTAAAGTTTTGCAGGGATGAAGCTTATGTCACTAGTTAATTACGAAGCATCACATGGAATGAATTAATTAGAATGATTAGTTATGTATTTACCATAGTAGTAATAATAATAGTAGTAATAGTAATAAGAAGAAGAAGGTTATCAAATCACCATTTGACTATATATATATGTCATGCTATCCATTATCTTCAACCTGGCACCTTTCTATGAAGCCAAGTAATCCATTATCTCTTTTAATGTAACTCTCTTACACTCAAAAATATAAATTATTTTTAACTAAATCTCACTTTAATAAAATAGTTACTTATTTTTAAATTAACCTTATCTTTATATATATATATATATATATCATTTAATAGGGTGTTTCACCCTAAAATAAATATAAAATAATTTATTCAATAGGAACACTTTTAAAAAAATAATTACACTTTAAAAGACTAAAAATATTTTATATATTTTAACATTCAAACCTTAAAAAAAAAAATGCCTTACATTTTGCAATGAAGGAAGTAACATTTAAGTGCTTGCTATTACTTTCTCTATAATATAATTAACCAAATCTAATTGTCACTCAAACCTTTAATTTCTTTTAGGAAAAACTATAATCATTGATTCTTATAGATCATTGATTCTTATAGTTCATCAAGTTTTGTGTTTAGTCCACATAAATTTTTTTTTTTTTCAATTCCTATAGTTTTAAAAAAATTGAGTGACCTTTATTTTTTAAGTCTCTACAGTTTTAGTGCTTTTAGTCCTTATAAGGATTGAAAACATTTTAAAAAAATTATAGGAATTAAAACAAAATCCAGCAAAACTATAAAAACTAAATTTTATATTTTTCCTTTCTTTCAACGTATATGATGACTTATTAGCCAAGGGGTCTCAAGTATATAAATACTATATGAGTGTATAAGTCATTCATTATTTTTCCTTATTTCTTTCCAAATAAGTCCTAAGTCATTCATTCTTTAAATTTTACATACGTAATGCATGAAAAAACATGTCTAAATGCAATATTTTATGTGCTTACTATCAGTGGAACTTATATATGTGTGTGTATGATAAAGAATCATCACCAAATGTGTCTCATTTAGGTAATTAAATACTAATCCTTATGCTCAAACAAAACTACCGATTCAGAGAAAAACTGTGAGATTATTTTACTAGAAATAAATGGATCCCATATATTATATACTCCCTTCATTAAAAAATAATATAAGGTATTTTTAATTGAATCTTACCCTTCAATAAAGTAATTATCTATTTTTCAACTAACCATATCTTTTCATATTTATTCCTATTAAACATCCTACAATAAATTTAAAATCATTATTAATAGGGGCACTTTTGAAAAAAGATAATAATTACACCTTAAAAAATTAAAAATACTTTATATTTTTAAATATTCAATTCTTTAAAAAATGCTTTACATTTTTTAACAGGGGGAGTAAAATTAAAAAAATAAGTTGTATAATTTATAATTTATAAACATAATTTGAATGCTATATTTATTAAAAAATTCATATTTTAAATCAATATAATATTCTGTTATTTAAAATTTATGATTTAGGAAAAGCATAATTTATTTATGAAGCTTTTTAATACAAAAACGTGTTTAATATATAGTTAAAAAAATGAAATAAATGTAGCATGGAGTTGAAAAGGGCCAAAAAAAAAAAGAAAAAGAAAAAAGGCGGATGGAGTAGAGCCGTACAGGTGTACTGGGATCCAAGTTATCAGGTGAGCACCTTTACTCAATCAATTTATGAAGGCACATGTAATGTCTTGTCGATGACTTTCATTCATGGACTTAACAGTAGTGCTGAAAGGGAAAATGATCTTCAAAATAATATAACAAAAATTAAAACCAAAAAAGTCGGTGCATAATTACCTAAAGTGGACCGGGCAAGTCAATTCATGCAATCAACTTTAAGCTTAAAGAAAATTACTTGTTCGACTGTAAAATAAGGGTGATGAGATGAAGTTACTTGACGATGATCTTCATGAGTTCACGTATTCACCAAAAGAATTGAAATTAAAGGGGAAAAACTTTAATGAGAAACAAGAAATTGAATGGCAGACAAAAGGACAAGAAAGACATCCCTAGCCCCATCCAATTGTGTCTGCTTCCATTTCTATCTGGTGTAAGATATCACTTCAATTATTAACACAGGTGACAAAGTTTTCAAGTTCATGTGCCCAGAAATTTAGAGTTAGAATCATCTATGACAACTCATTTATGAGCCAGAAGATGCTGGAAGCCCATATTAAAAGCTCATTACTTAGAATTGAGAGAGAGAGATTATATTGTAGGGAAGCCAAGTACGAGTAAGCGGAGAAAGTCTAATATTGGATAGAAGTGGGTGGAAAAGATGCAAAAAATAATAAAAAAAAAGTAAAATGGTTGGAATGGTTTTTCCCTGGTTTTGCATGACATGATGAGGTTGTGCGAATTAGCGGAATGTGTCGTTTTGGAGTGGAGATGAGATCAGTGGCTTGGTCGCCACCACTGTCTCTATCAGCATTGGAGATGGGGGGATTATGGGGGTTGAAAGTGAAGTAGAGAAAAGGAGGTCCATGATGCCACAATTTGAGGATGGATGCAATGCAAGGCCACTCAACCTTATTCAATTCAACCTCTCCTCTCCCACACCTACTTCACACTTCTCTTCCTCTTTTCACTTTTTATTCATTCTGTCAACAATCTTGTTAGACATACCTTCAACATGAAATATAAGCATCTCATATGAACATTGGCTCGTCGTGCTCCAAGTCAATGGTTCCTTCTACCAACTAGACTAAATCTCCATTAGTAATTAATTAATTAATCATCCCTCATTTTTTATATAACTATATGACTTGGTCATATTCGAGCATTAAACACACCTAATTAGAGATTACTCTTTTTGATGGACCACATACGGAGCAAGGCCTACGCAAGGAGAAAGAAGGTGCATGGAGTCTATCAAGAGCCAAGAGGGAGGCGTGCTTAAGGCTTAAGAAGAGATACGAATCATGCCAAACTTAATGAGAGACCAAGCGTTCAAATTGTAACATTTAAAATTTTTAAATCTGGAATTAATCGCTAATTAAAGAAGAAATTAGTTAAAAAATGATTAATTAAGTTAATGATATTTTTGAGTTGTTAATTGACTTTTTGGGTCATATATGACTCTAAATTAAGTTAGGATGAAAATTGGATCAAATTAAGTTGGATTGGGGGGCAAAAGTGAGTTTTTGCTCTTTGGGTCATGAGCTACGACATAGCATAGATGCATAAAACGAGAAAATCATTAGAAAAAGAAATTTTTGGTTGAGAAAACCTAGAACTCAAAGGAAAAAAATTTGACCACTGCTAGAGCTTCAATTTGGGTGGATTTAGAAGCTAATTTGAAACTCCAAACTCTTGAATAAGTTTCCCACTTTTCTTCTCTACCTTTTCATCTCATTTTCATGGGATTTAGGAAGTTGGTAAATTTGCTCTAAATTGTTAGGGCTATGAGTTTATGTTTTAAAAATTTCATGTAACTCTATAAGTTTGATTTAAATTTATTAATCTTGGATAAGTGTTAATATGAAGCTTAGATAGTGTTTAAAATGAGTTAGATCAAGCCTTAGCTCAATTATGCGATTATGAAGTGTGACAAGTTAAGATATCAAGTAATATGTTGTGATAGAGTTAGAGAAAAACTTAAGGGGATTGTGTGAACTATTTGTAATATTGACTAGCTTCTTTATTAAGAATAGGTGTGAGAAGTGTGAGATTAGAATGATATAGGTAGCTAATAGTGCTTGTATTAATTGAAAATTAACATATAGTATTTATTGTTATAAATTGAGATGTGAGGAACCTTGCTATGACCCAAGAGAAGATTTAGTACCACGAATAACCTTTTTAGTAATAAAAAATTTGAGATAACTAGATAATTCACATTATTTATTATCTTATAAAAGCTATTTGCAAGTTGTTTTGTAAAAGTTAGGTATTTTAGAAAATATGTAGAGTAGTGATTTGTGAAACTTCAAGCTTGTGAAATAAGTGATTAAGATGTGTGTTATATTTGTTTAAAACTTTGATATGCATAGTATAG